GATTGAACCTGGGACCTTCTGCATTCCAAGCAGATGCTCCACCATGACAAAATGCAGTGGCTGTTCCAGTCTTGCCTCAGGACATTTGATGGGCATGTTTACATCTGCGGTGGGATGGACAGTTCCCTTTCCCCAATGGAACGTGGCCATTTGGGTGGTGACCAGCAGGGGTCATTTCCTGTGGGAGCACACAGGAGCGGAGCTCCGGCAGTAAGGAGCCCAGGGGGCGGGCACATGCAACAAGCCCTCCCCCTGCTCCCAGCAGTTGAGTAAGAAGCAGCCAGGTAAGTTGCAGAGCCCCCCCCCCGGTACAAGCTTCAGGTACAAGCCCTCCCTCCTCTGTGAGGGCAGATCTGACCTTTAAGACCAAGTTTTATTCAGGTACAAGCTCTCCCTCCTCTGCGAGGACAGATCTGCATGTCCCCCCCCCATAGCTAGCAATCCAAAACAGTCCAGTGGCACCTTTAAGACCAAGTTTTATTCGGGTACAAGCTCTCCCTCCTCTGTGAGGTCAGATCTGCATGTCCCCCCCATAGCCAGCAATCCAAAACAGTCCGGTGGCACCTTTAAGGCCAAAGTTTATTCAGGTACAAGCTCTCCCTCCTCTGTGAGGGCAGATCTGCATGTCCCCCCCCCATAGCTAGCAATCCAAAACAGTCCAGTAGAACCTGAGCAGTGGGTGTTGCCTTCTGACACACTTCTGATGATTTCAGGGGGGGTGGCACATGCAAATAAGTTATGCTAATGAGTTATACTAATGAGCTCCTGAACCTCTTTTTCTGCGAAATGACCCTTGGTGACTAGTCCAAGGTGAGGAGCAACCGTCTCATAAAACTGCAGCTGTTGGGCACCCCTCCCCTGTCTGCTCTGTGATCCAGCTGTACAATCCATGCCTCTCCAGGGAGTTCTTAAGTTCTCTTTATATCACTCAGCCTCACAATGACAAGAAGGAGGAGGAGGAGGAGGAGGAAAGGAGATTGGATTTATATCCCACCCTTCACTACCCGAAGGAGTCAGAGCGGCGTACAAACTCCTTTCCCCTCCCCACCACAGACACCCTGTGAGGTCGGTGGGGCTGAGAGAGCTCTGACAGAAACTGCTCTTTTTCAAGAACAGCTCTTATCAGAACTACGGCTTGCCCAAGGTCATCCAGCAGGTGCAAGTGGAGGAGTGGGGAATCAAGCCCGGTCCTCCCAGACTAGAGTCGGCGCACCAAACCGCTACACCAAACCGGCTCTCGACAACCCTTTAAGATAGATCGCAGCCCTTCCCACATGACAGGCCAGGCGGGGAGTCTTGCTTGGAAGCTATCTGGTCAAATCGCAGTTGAATACAGTTCCAAAGCCCCATCTCTAGAGCCGGATCCCAAGACAGATCTTTAGGGTCCACTGAACAACTCGTCTTGCCCGAAAACGATCCCGCGACCAACCGGTTGAAATATGTGTGGGTTTTACTTCTGACAGCACCGAGAAAGAAAAGTAATCCAAGCGATGCTGTAATGCCGCCCTTCGAAATCACAGGCAGTCTTTCAGCAGCGGCTGGACAAACACTTTGTCAGGGATGCTCTAGGCCACTGGTGGCGAACCTATGGCACGGGTGCCAGAGGTGGCACTCAGAGCCCTCTCTGTGGGCACGTGTGCCATCACCCCAGCCAGGCCCAGACCATCATTAAAGTGTCGAATTCTCTGCCAAATAATTTTAAGTAAATGAAAGCATTTGGGATTGCTTTCCTTACTTTGTTTGGATCATCTCAAGTTAATGTATGAGTGGTTTTTTCTAAAGTAAAACCTCAGTATTCAGGTTAAATTGCCGTGTTGGCACTTTGCGATAAATAAGTGGGTTTTGGGTCGCAGTTTGGGCACTCAGTCTCTAAAAGGTTCGCCATCACTGGCCTA